ACCTTGGGTGTTCCCAAACTCGCCCGCTGGTAACCCATTACCTAGACATACAGAGACAAACGGCGCAAAGGTACACAAATGTTGATGCAATCAGGTTGAGAAAACATCTCCAGGGCCACCATACAAACCCCCCCTCTCCCATCTCCCTCCTTCCTCACTTCTTTTAATCTCTCCCTCTCTCCTTCAATTATCACAATGTCACCAGCACCATTGGGAAACTTTCCTTTTTGGTGAATTAACAGCAAAAAGAGCTTTGCAGCGGGTATGCTGGCGCTCTACTCTGTCATTGTCATAGCGGTGGCTCCGACAAAACAGTTTGCGTACCTGCTTAAGTATTACAGAAATTAACACCTCCCTTCCAGGTACAGTAATCAAAGGGGTGACGGGAGACAATTAATTAGGTCCATCTGCATCACTGCCTTTACATAATTAATGGGGCTCATTACGGAACCGCTAGTATGATGTGGAGCATGCTAGCCCACTCACTAGCTCAGAGCATTGTAGTAATAAAAGCAGTGGGAAAGTGAAGATTTTTGTTTATTTGTTTCAGTTTGCACAAATTTGCCTCCAGTTGACTAAACTGATTATTGATTGTAGTTTTGCTTTGAATTCTGTAAAGTTGTTATATGCTTATTTTACAAGGGTTCACCTCTGAACACATCATCTTTATGACTAAATAGAGAATGCATGTTTTTTTTTGTCAATTCTATTCCATGGCAGGGTAAATCCAACAATCAAAACAAGTAATACAAGAAAACAAGCGCACTATATAGACTACAGAAATATTACAAATGACAGTTTCTCTTGCACATGCAAAAAGATCAGAGGGTGTCATTATTTAACTTATAGAAATAGCAGGAAGGCACAAAAAAATATGAAATAATTCTGGAAAAAAAAAATCGATTTTGAAAAATCCTATAATTAGCAGGCGAGCTAATGCCCCCTATCTCAGCTGTTATCCACAACAACATGGGCTAAATTCAGTTTTCATTCTTTTTTTTTTTTCCATCCTTCATACAATCAAATAAAAATCATACACCTAGTTAGGTCTTCAGCGGATTCGCCCTCTTTGCTTAGTCAGTAAGCTCTACTGCTGACATCTTAACCTGAGAGTAATATTTAAACCTCGAAGCAACTCAAATGATCATATGGCATGGAAGAATCTTTAATATAAAGTTAATTGGTAAGAAAGTAAAAATTAGATTATGTTTTATGACCGCCTTGTGAAAATTACAAGTTTGATAATAATAGGCCATTTGCAGGTTGGTTATTGAATGTGGATTCTTTTTTTTATTGTTTCAGTGCTGGAGGGAGATACAGCGTCACAGAGATTTTTGCTGAGTTCTAAGTTACAGCACAGCACATCCAGGAAACTAGTTTGAGCCTAATTGATTACTGCCACCTCTCATTTCGCTTTACTTGCTTGAACTTTTTTGTTGTCCTGCCTCGCATTAACAGTAAAATATTCTTAAGGACGTTGATAATAATTTGATGTAAGAAGAACTTGCTGTGCACACTATAAATATAATTTCTAAGCTGTCAAAAGATTTAAGGCACTCAGGGTGCTGCTATAGCTCACCTGGTTGAGCTGGTGTCCCATGTGCTCGGTTACAGTCCCGATGTGGAGGTCATGAGTTCAAATCCCGCTCATGGCCCTTTCCCACACATCCTCCCCCAATTCTTCTTTCTCACTTTCCTGTCTCTCTCTCTCACTGCACTATTCAATAAAGGCACAATGGCCAAAAAAATAACTTAAAAAAAAAGATTTTAGGCACTAAAAGTAAAGAGATATTTTTTTAATTCAAAATTAGTACATTGAACCGTTTTATCTATCAATTTACTCAAACAAACAATATTTGGTGTGATCACCCTTTTCCCTTAGAACAGCGCCACTTCTTTAACAAGCAGGATGTTCCAATATTTTAGCAATCTTGCCAGAATTCTCCTGTAAATTTATACAGTCTCAGTGTCTTCGGTCTCTTCATGTAATCCCAGACTCCATGATGTTGAGATCAGAGTTCTGTGACAATCATAAAATCTGTTTGAGGACCCAGCCCAACACTGTAGACCTTGAATTACAAGTCTGTTCATTGTTATTAAAAAGTAGTGCAAAGTCGGCTTGTCTCAGCCTGTTATCTTTTACAGTTAATAGTACAGGTGATAGGACGAGTGATGACAGCTTTGATACAAGAGACTCATAAATTTCCGGAGCTTACAAACGGTCGCGTGCTTTAGCGCAAACGGGCCACAGATTACTAACTTATTCCATGTAACACCTGTATGGAGTGCAACAAAAGAGGTTCTGAAATAATAAAGGATAAACTTTTCAAGTCTTTTATATATGCTTCTCCCAGTGATGTGGCAGCTGACACACAGGTAGCAACTTAAGTTAAAACAAATAAGAGGCATTTGCAGTTGTTTTTGCCTGAGATCAGATTTTTTTTAAATGTCGTAGTCTATCCTTTAAGAGCATACTGTTCAGCAGCTTTCTAAAATTGACTGCAGACTTCTGCTGCTCCTGTGAGCACCTTGTTTTCCTTCTCCTCATCCCTCCTTTCTCTCACTCAGCTAATGAAGACCTCGTAGCCCACTGTTATTAAAATTACGCCCTTGCCTCTGATATTAATTGGGTCCATAATAAGGAATGCGTCGCATTCATTATTTAATTGCAAGGGCACATTTGGAATACAGTTTCTGAAATGTATTTTTAATGAAAAACACTACATCCTGACCTAATCATATCAACCTTATTCTATCTAATTAAGGATGCAAAAAATCATTAGAGTTGCAAAATATTAGTTTCAGCTCTGTCGGGCTGCTCCTTTGCTCGCCTTCATGAATATTTTTTTTTTTCTCCCCTGTCTATGATAAATAGTTAATGAGGGAAAAATGACAAAAATTTGCATGTAGGCAAATTAGTCTAATAGGGATATGTCTTTGCTGAGTTAGGAAAGTGACCCTTTTCATAGGAGAAATTGTTACAATAATTATGAAATAATGGCAAAGCCCATCTTATTTTGATGAAAAATGGTCTGCTTGAATAATGTAAAAATGTTAAAATGCAATAACCCTAAATTTTCATCATGCCATAGAATGTGTTAACGTGTTAGCATTTTATCAGTTTAATAACACCAAATTAGGTACAATATGAAGTACGCTGTAATTGTTGCCGTGGAGGGAGATATGCAGTAATGCAAGGATGATTTAGCAGTGCACCACAGCAAGAGGCCATCAGTTGCTAAATGAAGCATTTTCTTAATCACAAACTTTGGGGATGTAATTTCTTTAAAAGTCTCCAAACATTGGGATGTTTAATTTTCTTCCAATAAACAGGTCCATCACCATCCCATTAGCAGTGGTGTAGTCACCTTTTAGAGCCATGGTTGCAGTTTATTAAGGCTTATAAGACAGATGTAAAACAAAGGAATGTAGAAAAATAAAAACCAACCAAAAAAAAACAAAACAACTCACCAATTTGTTGCTAATGAATATTGATTTTACTCATATTACACTGTGGAACAGTTTTAGCTAAGATAAATAGCAAGAATGCAATCCATAATTCTCTCTCCTTTTCATGAGCTCAGTTTTCATGAAAATGTGTGTCACAAAAGCTTATGGTACATCACATAAACAACATATTAAAGAATTTACATTGTCACAAACTGAAAAACTTAACTCATTATTCTGACTTGTGTGTGCAGCCACAATCAGTTCATCTGCATAATTAAGTCAAAACTACAAATTACATCTAGTTTTTATTAATGTAAATAATGTAATCCTGTGTTTATCATTAGAAACGCTCCAGATGAGTACTTGAGTAGTTTTGCAAAGCGTCTGCTTCTAAAGATGTGGATTGCCTCCATTCACGCTTAACAAACAAGAAATTTTGTAAATACAATAAAGTATGGACTGTAAGAAAGAGTTTCACAAGACATTGATATTCTAGTGATTCATTCTTTCAAATATTAACTACTTTGACCCTCAAAAAATATCTTTTGGCTTGGTCAGGCCTACTGTGATTCCCCTGTAAGACAACATGATGCATAATTTCCCAACAACCCGTCCGCATTTCACCAGAAACTGAGAATCAGCTGTAGATTTCTCCCTCCATATACAGTCCCGTGAACTTGTGCAAGCAAAGAGCAAGGGAGTTAATGAACATGGAGAACACCGAGCGATGTGTGCCACTAACAAATCCTACAGAGTAAATTAAAGGGTGGGGCGGGGGGGCTGCAGTTTGATCGCTGCATGCTATTTCCCTTATCTCAACAAGTCACATTTTCAATCACTATGCAAAGATTTTACATTGGGTGTAGGCTTGATGCTAATACACTGCCCTTCCCTGTGTCATCACCATCGACCTACGCTGGGCTGTCAAACATGCGACAGCCTCTCTCCGTGATAGTAATTTCATGGGGACATGCATTTATTCAAGCTGCCTCACCTGACATCAAGATTCTACATTAAGAGAATGCCCACTATAGCATGCACAGGCATTACGGTATGTGTTGATTGAGCAGTCTCTCTTTAATGAAATATCTTCGGAAATTGGTTTTCACAGACTAATCAGGCAGCCCGCTAGCCGAGTTTCTGTTTTGGTAATTATCTTGTACTAATTAGAATGAAGCTAAAGACCTCTGAGATGAATTCTCAGCTTTCTCAAATGTAACTAAAGAAAATTTAATGATATAAAATGAGCCCATTCTATACATCCTCTCCTCTCCGTAATATCTCCTTTAAAGTGACCAGTGAATGTTATACCATCTTGGCTGCCATTAAATGTTCCTTACACTGTCTCACCCAGCTCTTTCACTCAGAACCCCAATGGAAGAAACTTGTCTTACAGACAACCAAAAGTAATTCCTCCCCTTTACACAAACTAATCAAACAGACTAGTATCAATTACCTTTGAGCTCATTCTCTCCTTAAGAAAACAATCATTAGCCCAATTAACCACCAAGAGGTTTCAGTAGAAGAGCACAGTGAAGTGATGTGTTTACCTTGCGTCTCTCCCCATTGAAGCCCCTCCACTGCTCTGCCTTCTTGACAACGTAGCTCAGTTCCTGATTGGACAGCTCCAGGTCCTGAGGCAGGAAGTACATCCCTTCCTTGGCTGTGAGTCGCTGAAAGATATCCAGCATGCGGCCATCATTGTGAAATCTGGAAGGTGCACAGTGAGAAAAAAAGCGAGGAGAGGGGAAAGTGTGAGCAGGAGTGACGCCATACCAAATCACTGTCTCCGCCCTCTAAGGTCACATGGGGTCACGAGTCAAAGCAAGGAAACCATGCCTCTTTGCCATGTGTCAAAGAAGATAACTGTGCACAACTAGCTCTGTGGCTACCTCTTTGCCAAACAGAAAAGTTGGCTTTCATGGAACAGGTCAAATCACAATGATCCCAACTTGCTGGGAGAACAGACGAAACTTTTATCGATTACACAGAGCAGATTTGCAGTGTGATGCTCTGTAAAAGTCTAATACATCAATTGAGATAGCAAAAGGAATCAAACAAATTGGCCTATGAGTGGGAAGTACTTTGTTAACACAAGCTGACTGTAGCAGTGTCTGTGTTTGGCTGGGTGTCTCCGTGGTTGTACATCTGTTAATGTGTGGGAGTCAGATCCTAGAATGCTCTTCAGTGTTAATGCTGAGCTTCAAAGATGGCAGATGCAACGGACGTGCTGGTTGCAGATGTGTCTGGAGAGTCCGGCTTGAGTCACAAGAAAATGTTCTGCACAGCAGAAGGCATATTGATTCATACCTCCAGATGAGCGCACATCACCAAAGTGTTATTTTTCTTTTGCAACACAAGGGTGCATGCAGCCAACTCCTAAAAAGAAACACCATGTCTGTAAACAAATGCCTTGGCTGACCATCAAAACCGGCAGACCTTGTGCCCTTCCATAGAGATTCTAGCCTGTCAGAGGGTAATCAACTCTCAAATAAAACCAACATCAAGGAGAAAAGGATTTATACAAGAAGCTGGTACGGCGCTTTGAACTCAGCATCATTCCCCATCGCTCTTGGGAGAGGGGTGTTTGTAGAATCTTGACCTCAGACACAGGAATAGCATGCATTCATTTTAATCCTGCAGTTGAATTGTGCTTCTCATTCATTTATGCAGTCTCTCTCTTGGAGGAATTCACCGTCTTTGCATCTTTGTGCTTCAAAACAGACTAATTTCCTTGCTGTTGGAAGGGCCCTGAATTTAAGCATGTAATTCTTATATGTGGGGTATGACCCGGATGATAAGGCTCATATTAGATATTTGCTAGTGTTGAGGTCACCATAAGGACATACGTATGTTAACTTATAGAGCATATTTTAACAATGCATTCATGACAACAATGAATGAAAGTGTTAATGCATAATAAACTAAATGTCAATACAAATAATGTTTCTATAGACCACATACAATCATGATTCAGATGTGATTGTTTGATTGTTTGACTTTGGAATGCAAATTAATTAATTATTTTTGCTAGTCTCCAACCTTGTAATCATGCAACTGCACCGCTGTCAATGTGGCATCACCTTTTTTGAGTGTGTGTTTATGAAGTTTCAAAGAGGGTAGAGGTGTAACATGTATTTTTGCAGGCGGTGAATAAAGGCTTCCTAAAATGTAATTAACAAAGGATAACAGTCCATTCTATCTATACATATAGCCCAAGGCATTTTTTTAGAAATAGGTCACGGTCTGTGTCAGAGCCCCTTCCTTGCAGCCAATAGGAAACTGTAACCCATAAAATTATCAGCCTTGCTTCAGCCTCGTGGCCTACATTCAATACAAACCCGTGTGGCGGTTGAGTGGCAGAAGTCATTATTCCCGGCTGCTGTTTTAATATTGTCCATTTAGCTGGATCCTGATAAGCGTCCCGCTTACTGAAATTAGATGGCACCCTCTCCTCGGCCGCCAATCTCAAACTGATTAATTCAATAAGGGTTTTCTTACATTTTGAGCTGTTAATGGAATTTGGCCTTATATGAGGGTACGAGAACACACCTTGGACGGAAACTGAGTTCCACCGTGGTGTAATTTGTCACCTGCCCTTCTACTTTGTTAGTTCCATACTGTTAAAAGTATGTCCTTCTATTTTTTTTAAAGAGTTCAAGAGTCATCTTTTAAGTTGAAATCCGTGCTTTGGCAGTACTGTTTAAGTTTGCCCTGTCACTGCAAAGCAAGCCATGAAACTGAACAGCCAGGGACCAGCCATCTCAAACTAAGCTGTGAGAGACTCTATTTAACATGATGTTTTGTTTTCCCTGTGCATCCTCACTAATCAGGAAGCTTCTAACAGCTCTATAGAGGACATAAAGTCTTAGTGCAGTTTGAGGTGCTAAATTACAATACAAAGCTAGCAAGCAAATGCTTCAGCATGGCTGACCTCAATCTGCAAGACATGAGTGGAACACACAGTGCATTGAGATAGAGTCTGTGTGTTCTTCACCATGTATACGCAGTCCATTTCAATATGTATAAAACCTGCAGTGATCCCAACCATGCAAAACATACAGCCTAATCGGATAATGTAAGGGGGTTACATGTTCACGCTATATCAAAACACATCTAACTTTTGAATTAGAAACGCTTTCCATTTTCCAGCCAATTGCAGCGTATGGCACGCTCAGAAAAAGGCAACTGTGTCACATGTGTGTAGTTCTGCTTTTGTGCTTGATAACTGTACGTGTGTGTGTGTGTGTGTGTGTGTGTGTGTGCGTGTTGATGTGCGACTTTGATGCAAAGCTGCATAAGTAATTCCATGCGACTTTAAAATCAACATGGATAAGATCAACATTTGTTTTTATTTTCCTGTTGGTTTTTTTGGTGGATGGAGGAGGATAACTAGTGGATTGAGTGGAGTGTAACGGTCAGAAGGTTGCAGGGGTGAAGGGTTTAAAGATATTTCTGAACTGGTTCTTGAGAATTGCAGACTGGTGAGGCCTAGAGTGCTTCAGAAAGGGCCTGTTGGGACAGTCTGCATCAGTTCAAAAATACCCATATGATAATTCTCTGCTTGTGATGTTTTTCAGCCTCTGAGGTGAAGGAGAAAGCTCACGGTCAGAGGTGAAAGAGTAAGATGACATAAAAAGAATGGGATCCACTTAACTCTAAAAAAAAAAAATGTACTGATGTGCACTGGTATGACAGTGACTTGCTTCTACACCTTCAGTTAAGTTTTGTGGCAGAACAATGGCTCATTAATTGTCATGTACAGTCCAACAAAGGCATCGGCACAACTTATTCTGGGTTTTAAAATAAAATACCTAGCAACAAGTTTAAAAGTATAAACAAGTATACAATATATACAGTAAGCCCATTCAAAAGCCTAATGTGTAACGAACTCATTTAAAAAAAAAAAAAGATGTATTTGTCTTTAGAAAAGAAGAAATTAGCAAAGTTTTGATATACCTGTTAGATTCAATAAATATGATGATATGAATATAAATATTTCAATGAACATAATACTATTTTTAAAGTAGACAGCAATGTGACAACAAACAGGAAGTCTTCATCTTTGTGTGTGTCTCACCTGAGCAGGTAAATGGAGAGGATGGTGATAGAAAGCAGGAAAAGAACTGCATAGAGGAACAGGGTGATGATCACTCCTGCTGCACCTGATCGGTCAACTCGATAGAAGTGCCAGTAAAGCTTGGCTGCATCAGCAACTGGTGCATCGGGGCTGTAGGCGAGACGCTGAGGAGACAAAGATTGAAAGAAAAGCAAAAAAAACACGAAACTGTTAGATGTATTAGACTCGACATTTGCAATATGGGAATGCCCAGGACAAGCTCTAGCCAGGGACTGATCAAAGGAAACTCATACCATGTAGCTCAAGGATTAAGTTTTCGCATTCTTTGGATGTTATCTTGCAGTATCACAAATTTTAAAAAATGGTATGAATTCCTTTCTTGGTATTGAGTGTAAAATATAGGGAGTTATTTGGTCAGACGTAAATGTTAAAATGCAGTTTTAGACATTATCTCTTGTCAAATGATGACGGGAAAAGTCCAAATCGTTCATCTTCCTATCTGACAAAATCCATCCCACTGCCAAAAAAGACACCCTTCTAACCTTGCACATTTTCTTTCTCACCCCCTACCCTCCCACCCTTTTTTTGTAATCTAAAGTCACTTTGCCAAGATAAAGTGAACTCCTATTTAAAGTGCACAAGTGTCCAAGTTATTTTTAAGTGACTTACCCCGAGGACGGCGTCCACTGCAAAGACTGCCAGGGGGTCGAGGACTGTCCACACTCCCTGAGCCATGATAAACTTTGACGTGAAGGAAGGGAGTGAGCCAAATATCTGTTGACAGCCACATCTGATCAGAACCAGCAGGAACGTTATTGCGTTCAAGGTCAGGGGACCCACTACCACCATTGCCAGCTCCTCCCGGGTGTGGAGCAAAGAACTCTGGTACACGAGGTCTACCGTGTGTGCGTGGAAGTGGAATCTGGTGAGAGAGGAGAGTGTCAATATGTGTGCGCCATATTTGTGTTTGTGATGCTTGCAGCTCAAGGGCAACGGGTTCCAACAATCCACACATGGCATTATAATATTTGCGGCTGAATCAATCATATTTAATTAGTTTAATGACAGTTACCGTTATAATTGGTTGTTATTTGCCTTACCGATTACTAATGATATGTTATAAATTAAACTTAATAATCTTTTTCAAATTAAACTAAAATGCTTCATAAAGTTGTCAAAGTTGACAGACAAGTACAAGCAAGAGTATTAACACCTTTGCTGATACAAGCATCCCTAGCCCCACTGTTGTAAGTTTAGAATCCCCATTTACAGCAAGCCTCATGAGTTTCTTAATCTTCCCATCAGTCAGGAAGAGGTAGAGCCAGTGGTGGGAGAGGAGACGTCCAGTTTTTTCTCATTAATTTCCATCTGATTTGCTCCAAGAGTCATGCATCTCTCAGATTCTGTCCATTAATCTGACAGTAGAGGTCCATTGGTGTTTTATCTGAAGCAAATCTGCAAACAGATCCAAGCCTGGGAAAAGTTTTCTTAGAGAACAGAGATTACCTCACTGGATGGCCAGTATAGACGTAAGACATGTCATTTTGTATACTTAAGATTACAGACCTATATTCCACAGATAAATTGCTCTTCCAAGAGTGACAAGGAAATTCTTCACATCTTGAGTCTGGGATAAACCAATAAATAATTGCATCTGTATTAAATTCTGACATTTTTTAAAGATTTCAGAAAGCGCATTGCTTGTGCCAGACAATGTTTCTTGATTAGTGATGGAAAATAACAACACAACATGTACAACTTTGACATATTTGTTCTTTAATGCAAGTCTATACTTCTATTCCATCGCATTTCAGCATTTCAGATCAGATTTTAATGAGCTTAGAAAACAGTAAACATTCTTTTACACTATACTAAACAAACAATCATTAAAAGAGTTTGTATTGATCCTAACTGAGCAACACAGCAAATTTTCATATTTGCTTTTATTACTTCTTGGGATTGAGAAACATCTTACACATTGAACTTTAAACTGTTCAGTTTTGTGGTATCTTATTTCTGTCAGTGTTTATCAAAAAAATGGGGGGGGATGGAGGAAGGTGACTGAAGCAGCATTGTGTCCAGAGATTCTGTTGCTCCTGGACACACTTTGTTGTCTACCAATGTTCAGGGGTGGATTATGGGGAAGCAGGAAGCAGCGACAGACAGTGAGATATAGTCAGAAAGGAGGAAAAAAAAAAAAAAGAGTGCGAGATAGAAGCGAGAAGGACGAGATGCCTGTCATCACACTAACCAATCTGACTGTCACTTAGTCTCTCTCTCCCTCTCCCTCTCTTTCTCTCTCTCTCTCTGTGGGCACCACCAGCTCTGGCCATTGCATGGAGAGAGAAATGCTTGGAGGGAGAGCAGCAGATTCGGACATGTGGAAGTTGTCATCCAACATTGACCCCCTCTGTTTTCACATTTTTGTTTTTTTCACCTCTTATCCGCCCCCTCAGTCCATTCTTTTTTCTTTTTTTATTCAGACAAATTTTTTTCTCCCTCCGCCTCCCTCTACCTCCCTCTATCACTTTCCATGATTTAACGTGCAATGTTTGCACCCCCATGTTATTGTAATAAAAACCTGCTTGTATGCATGCTTGCAGCCAGCCCTTTTTATTGTGATGAATTAAATCAGCACCATATGCTATTGCAATGTGATTTAACAGTTCTGTGGTATCTTATTGCTGTTTATTATCAATGCTGTGTACCGAATAATAACAATAAATTCCTTCCAAATAATGTAGCCGTTTGGGACTTAAAGCTGTGTGGTGAGCAAACTCCCCCAGCAATGGTTTGTTAATATTGAGAGAGTCTTGTTAAAATGTTAATGGGGGGATTCCAAACAGATGATTTGGGTGTATCCAGCCTGCGTGTTTGCCAACGCACACACTCAGACACACGGCACATCCTTATTCTCTTGCCTGCTCGTTATCCCCTCCACATTCTATTTCACCACAGTCTCACTTTACATGTGTGTTTTTTTGAAATTCATATGTTGTGTTGTGTGTGTATGGGTGTGAATTTACAATTTGCCAATACGCTACAGTAATCTACTGTATGTAGCAGTCCTCCATTTTGATAATGGATCGATGTCAGCACCAATGTGCATGCTCAAAAAGTGTGGTTGTGTGTGTCTGTATTCATACGCTCCTTTTTCATGCATGTGTGTGCGCGCGCGTGTGTGTGCGCGTGCCTGTGTGTGAGTGCAGGGCAATATCAAAGGAAGCAAACTCACTTGTTGACAGGAACTGCTATGGCCTGGAGGTAGAGCCACTGGCTGCAGTAATGCAGGTAGAGCCTCACAAACCACATCAAAGCCAGCAGCAGCATAATGAGGCCGAGCTGCCGAACGGAGCCATGCCAGCTACTATGCAGTTGTTGTTGTTGCCGGGGCAACGGCAGGCCCAGCTCGGACGGCAGCATGCAGAGGGCCAGGCGGGCTCGGTCAGACAGGCTCGGAGGACAGGAACTAGGTCCAGGCAGCGGTGATCTATTCACAGAGGAGGATCATGACATGATAACCATGCACAACAACTTCCTTTACTTTTTTCTTGCTCTAATAATAATCTACATCTAAAATAATGTGTATGACTGTCACACTTAACAAAATTTCCTGGATTTCATGATTTTAATTTAAGTTATTTTCCTTTTCCATTTTTTGTTAACACTTTCAGCTCAGTGATTCAAACACATCATTGCTTGCCCATGGGCGACAGTAAGGACGATTTAAATCGAAACATGTATGATTTGACATTAAGCAGCCAGACCCCACCCATCTGACTTCAGATCACATTGCAGATACTTCCTTGTCTTTGCATTACATATAGCATTCAAATGTTTTTTTTCTTTTTTGCCATATGCATGCAGTAAACATTAAAGGTAGGCAAATGTAGTATTCAAATTGACACACAATCACACATGTACACAAGTGTTCTCTCTGTCTCACACACACACACACACACACACGCACACGCACACACACACACACACACACACAAACAGATAGAAATCCCTTCCAGCGGTGCTCAGCTTCCCTGAGCACCTCTGCCTCCTCTGTGCCGCCCTTTGTCAGGCCTGCTCAACTATTCCCTTTCATACAGAGGGCACAGATGGAGCAGTGGAGACAAGTGGAGGAAAGGAAAGGAAAGGAAAGGAAAGGAAAGGAAAGGAAAGGAAAGGAAAGGAAAGGAAAGGAAAGGAAAGAAACATTCTACATTAGACTGGGTTGCATAAAAAAAAACTCAACTAAAACTACTATGTAAAGTAAATGAGCGTGTGCAATCACAGTGTGCGTAGACCTGCATTTATTATAGTTTGCTCATGTCAACACAAGCAGACACTGATGACCCCTATCGTCTGGCTGATAGTAATTAGAACAAGGCTAAAAGTGGGTGTTCAGTACAGCTATGGTTAGTATCGCAGAATGTGACTTAAGGCCTATGCCTGTGGACATCCCTGTGTCTCACCACTGTGTCCCACAGCGCAGTTGGAATTCACTTTGTAGTGTGTATCTGGGGAAAATAGTACATTGCCTAAAGACGAAAAACAGAATCAATTGTATTGCTCCCCCACCCCCATTACCAAATAATTAGGCTAGACTTAGATCAAAATGAAGCACTGCATTTTATTCCCTGCTTGTATTGATGCTCAAATATGAACCCTCACACAGATGTGCTTAAGACAAAAGAGATCATCTTTGGTGTTCCTCTGAGGTGGGCATAGCATACTTTCTGAAGTGTTAAATTATCTGAAGTTGAATCAACTTCCTCCATGCATGCTCGCAAGATCAGCGGTACAGCACACAGTGCATGTGGGAAAACTCGAGATTCATTCAGAAAATGCTCAGTCAACAGTTTGGGCTGCTAAATATTCATAGCTTGGCTGAAATAAACTCAAGCAGAGAGGATAAACATGTGTCATAAAAGTCAGTTGTCATTCAGCTCATTGGGTGAGATTTTAAAGCGCAGCATAAATTCCACTGCAAATATATTGAATCTTCCCTGTGGGAGACCAGATGCTGTACATACAGGATATTGTATGTAATGGGAGCATAGTAAGAATAATACTACATCTATTGCCTTCACAACATTTATCTGAACTCATTGTTTGCTGTGCCACACATGTGACATTAAAATAGCAGTATGTGACAAGTCTGATTTAACTATTTTCTGAAAATGTTTCAATGCATTACTTTAAAAGTGTTGACTAAATGACTACACAAAGAACCACAAACATTTTTAGTTTACAGCAGATACAACTGAAAGTTTCTCTGTGACACCATGATACTGAAAAGTCTGGAATTCTAGTGTCAAGTGTGTGTTTACCCGAGATTGTGAGGTATAATCCAAAGAGAAAAGATGATAACGTACAGGCAAATGTGTGTCCCTGCTTTTCTATTATGATGTTGACAAAGGTACGTCCATTCTGTTCCAAGCTTTATCACGACTTGCTTCACTGTGTGGTTTCAAACTGCTTTCCGCATGTCTGCAAAAGTGGAATTACCGAGTAGACAAAAAAAGCTGTGTGTCACAGACACATGCAAGATGCTAGCCTGTCAACTAGCATTGAACGAAAACAGCAAACACAACCTGACGTCCATCTTTCATATAATGAAGATATTGATGATGCATGAAAGAGGAATATTTTTAGACGTCTTCATGCGGCGGCCTCTTCCAAAGGAAACTGGTAACGTGATGTGAAATCTGTTATCTCCACTGAATTGATTTCATTATGGCACCTCCAATTACAAAAGTACAATGCGGTAAAAGAGGGAAAGGCAGGGGGCGGAGGTGTGGGGTTTTTATCTTGTAGGAAAGAAGGATGTTTCATTCCAATATCACAGCTTGTCCCCGGAACGACTGATAGCATGTGGCATAGCGGCCCAGTGATGAAACTAACCATTTCAACAGGCATGCACTGGCACATAATACTATATTTTAATTGTAGTTTATATGCTTCAGTGAAATCTGGGCCAGAAGCTGTTCCCTCATTATCTTAGTTCTGATATGTTTGTTGTTCATTCCCATGTCATCAAAGCACATTGCAAAAGGACTCATCATCCTCTCTAAACCTTTCCAGAGAGTGCCAAGGCCTGTAAATCAGATTTAACTAGCGTATATCTGTCAGCCACCGGAGTAAGGAACCATCTCCTGGACTGGTTTTCCCAGGCTGTGTCCCTTAATGTTGTACGGCATGACAACAAACGGGAGCTGTGCTCTTAAAAATAGCACAAAGTGAATAGCAAGTACAGACAAGTACTAAACCTTTAAGACGGCATGGGTAATGAGAGACAGAGAGGTGGTGGTGGGGGGGGGGGAGAAGAGAGACAGTACAGTGGGGTGTTACATTTTAAATAGCACATTTATGGTGACAAGGCTCCAGGGCTGCAGAGAGCGAAGGTAACCCGCAGACTCCCTCTGCACAGCCCTGATGGCTTAGACCCTCGAGAGTCAGACCACTTAAAGTATTGGACTTATCCCCTTTATTCTGAGTATTAAGATATTTTCAGTCACTTTTTTTTAGGCCACTGGCATTGTTTATAAATGCACTAAAACCACACATCTTCTTCCTCATAATCAAAGAATGGTTTGCTTTGGGCAAATAAAGAAAGAAAAAAAAAAATACAGTATGGAAATAGACTTAAAAGATTGACAGATAATGTGATTGTTTTCTCAGTGGCCCAGATGCATAAGTGTTGTAGTGATTATGGAAGTGTGATTATCTTAGGTGTCAAGAGATAGGACTGAAGATACCGTATCTTTGTTAACATTTAATTTTTGAAGAATGCTGATAATGAATTTGTTTTGAATTGTGAGAGTATCTGTCATCTGTCCTTTGTGGTTTCAGTGTCTTTGTGAGGCATCATTAAGGTTTTGATGGTGGTTAAAACATTTTTTTTTGTATGTGCAAAACTTAATCTGCAACTTATGAACAAATACTACATAGAAACTTTAATTTTTCCTGTATTTGACATTGCAGGTTTTAGGTGATATGAAAGAAACTTGCCATATTAGTGTTACAATGGCACATGAGCAAGCCAGGAAACAAAACTACAAAGCCTTATGTTTTCAACAAGGCCCAGAATGAATGAGAGTTGAGCTGCTTAGGAACCACTGTGTTTTAAAGACAAGCACTGATTAAATGGAAAGTAGTGGTTTTACTGTGCAGTGGGTTTATTTAGCAGTGTCACCTGTATTAGAAGTACCACTGGATGCATCAGGATTGTTTTAAGGAAGGAAATAATTCCTTCAGTCAGCTAATGGAAGTGGGAGTGAGAAGAGAGATAGACAGAGAGCGATAGAGAAAGTGTTAATAAATGGCATAAGCATGCACCACATCTTCGTAACTGAACTTTCACTGAAGTTCAACAAGTCGTAAATCTTTAAAAATTAATCAGTGAAACTAAAAAGTTCACCGTATTTTGTGAACACGTAGAGGGATCAAAACTCTGTTTTGAAAAGACAGCATTAGACACTGCCTGGTAGTGATAATAATTCATGTTGAACGCCACAATTCTCCTCCCTGATCTGAGTTCATCCTGAAAACCGCCTGACTTGCCCTTTACCCCATATCACAAAGGTGTGCCTTAATACGAAACAATACCCGGTTTGTTTTTTCAGTGGCAGTTTGTAATAGCAGTTTAATAGCTCTTGTTTCGGTTGTTAATAAGCATTTAAAAGTGTGAGGGAGATGCTGTTATGTTTGCCATCAAACAGATGAATTGTAATTTTGATTATTCTCATGTGCACCATGGTGGCTTGTTTGATCATGTTGATCTTTCTCATTGAACATACTGTCCTGTAATGCAGAGCACATGTACTTTACTGAAGTGGAATATAATCCCTTTTTGATCAGATCACAAGCTAGAATGCGTTTCTTATGGATTGTTTGAAATATAGCTTTGTTTTATTTGCCTAAAAATATTAATGGAGATGGAGATGGGTGAGAAATGAAATGAAAAACTTGGACAAAAGAATGGAGATGTTTGCACACAGTTGCCCTGAATAGTACAAGTAGACAATTAACCTCCTATCCTGCAAGAAAAATAAAAAATATTTAAATGATTGGTTGGGGCACAGATGGCAGGATCTTGAGTCACAAAGATGTTTCAAGTGGCTAATATTTCAGTGGGTACAGCAACTCTGTTGTGACATGACAGAAACCACCAAACATGATTAGTCAGCAAGAATAGTGCATAGAGTTTACATTGAGAGGGATATTATAGTGCAAAACCCCCTCATTGCAAAGACAAAAACACATTTGAGAGTTCTGTGGGCCAAAAACTATAGCCACTGGTCAAACAGGATATAGAAAAAAGTGGTATAGTTTGTCATCCTTCATTACACTCCCAGCAAGCCAGTGGGTGCATGTGAGGTGTACACAATGAGGACGGTCTGGACCTAGACCCCCCCTTCAGTAAGGGGATCTAGAGGCGAATGATGTTTCACTTTTTCAGTAGAATTAAAGAGTCTTGGCAAATAAGTGCAAAGG